CGCGCAGTCGTGACGTAGAAGTGACATTTTGCGTAATGGCTGAAACACAATGGTGCTCGCGCGAGTTGATGTGTATGTGGAAGTGAAAGGCAGAGTAATAAAAGTAGAAACGACGAGTTTATATAACGCGATAGCAGCTTTATGCGCGCGCTGCGAGAAAAGCGATAACGCCAGCGGATCAAAATACACGTAAACACTTAGTGCTGTCACATACAACAATTTATTTTTTGGGATTCTATACACGCTAGACTTCATCTTTACCGTTCAAACGTACAAAAATTAATATAAATCCTATGTATAGTGTTATATTATGTCTCCGTAAGGGCAGGACGGTATTACGCAAATATAATACGTTGCTTGACCTTTTGGGATCGCTATATATCTGATGGACGATCACTACTACTCATATGCTACACACAAGCAGCAGCGACAATTCATTCACGGAAATTTGAGAAAATAATCGTATCAAGTGCCAGAGAGAGTATAACTGCTATGCGTAGCAAAATATATTTGCAATCGGATCGCTTGCTCGCAGGTGTTATTGCACTTAACGCGCGCCGGGGGGGGAGACAGCGCCCTACCCCGACCCCCACCCCACCCCACCCACCATCGCGCGGTAGGACTACTGGGAATGTGGGAACTAGGTTATCCAATTGCTGTGGAAATTCCATCTAATGTACGGAGCGGTCGTGTTGCGCCGCAGTGCGTGTGCGCGGTTACCTTTGTTGTGCATGCGAGAGTCCGTGTATTGACGGGCAGTTAAAACGTTGGCCGCGGTTCACATGTTGCAATGGAGCGTAATTTCTCTTTCCGCGGGGTGCAACAATCCCCGGTCATTATCCTCGCTTAATCGTCTGATCGCATTACACTCATTGTTTCCTATTTATCGATTATTTAGTCAATTTCGCGATCGTTCCGAAAGCGTTTAATTGTTGCTCCGAAAAATAATCGATACGAAATTTTCCAGACGTGAACGACGGACAGTAAATCTCGCACGCCTACGAGAATAGTTATTGCGATATATATCTGCCGCACTCGCGCGCGTTTACGGCAGATGTAGAAGCAGTTTATAACCATCGGTGACACCGTTTCTCGGTCTGTTGCGGCATTATATAGACGTACGGCGTTTACAGTGGGATATACAGAATGCATATTACCGTTAATCGCGATGCTGCTATAATGGCGGTGCTGCGCCGTACCCTGGCAGGGGCTTCCGTTATACTGCGGGCTAGGCGGAATTGTCACTAGTCATGCATCGGCTGGGTGAATCACTGACCTCAACCACGCAGCAACAGCTACTACTTTAGACCGTCGTTATAACTCGGTTGCATACGATTGCATATCCTTAACTTTTGCGTCGCGCCGGATATAGTATAGATATGGCGAGATGGCGTGTTGGTACGAGCTGGTGGATCGACGTAATAGTCGGTGAATATAGGAGTTAGTGTGATGCGCGTAAAACTAAATTCGAATTCCGCTCGTATATTGTCGTCTTATTCATCGTAATTTTCTCGCGGAATCGGTTTTCCACGGTTGCGTTCCTCGGGGGGCGGGGGCATGGGGAGGGGGTTGTTCCGGCGTACCGTAGAAACGTGGCGGGGAATGCCAAGCAGATCAATCTCCAACGCGAAACTCCATTTATTGTGAATGCCATCAGTGGGTTTATTGCCAACGAATGATTGCATGTGTGCGCGTGGCTTGCCTGGGATATGTGTTGTAAATACGGGAATCAGTATTACCTATTTATTAGAACTATAGTTATTGCATACAAAGACAATCGCGCGTCTCTCTCGTCGAAAGATCCCGAGTGATTGAGACTCGCAGAGCGGGAACAACGAAACGTGAAACAATTCCCACTATCGCCAGCACTTACACGGGAAAAAAACAATCACGCCCTATAACTACTATAGGAACGAAAAGGGAACTCGAATAACTCTCATCCGCCATGTTGTAAACATACGATATATATATATATATATTGCACGTTGCTTGTCGTCGTGTACACAATCCGCTGTTGTTAACCATCAGAGGCCTGAGTGCAGTCGTCACGTGTTAGGCTGGTTACAACAACGAGTTAAATACGAGCTTCTAGTCGTCGTTAATCGTATCCTCTAAGCACAGCGCGCGATAATTATGGCACAAGATAAATAGTATATGTGAGCAGGGGCGAATAATGCCAAATTTGTCATTATTCGCCCCTGATATTAGGTGACTAGTTCGGTGCAAGTGTAAATAGGGAGGGGGGATCACCACCGTTTCGTCACTAACACATCGTTCTTTAGGGCTTGAGCTGCAGCTTACGGCATTTTAAATAAAGCGTCGAGTGCTAAAACTGCCTTAGAATCGCAAAAGTGAAACAACGGCGTTAACACCAGGCCGCTGCTACACTCACTGGCGAGAGGTATAGACAACACAAATAGAACATGATCGTATTTACACTAATGAAATGTTTTGCCAGCGCCGCCATCTTGTAACAGACGAATTCACGTGAAGCCAAGTTACAATTATCGACAACTATCATTAATTAACAACTTCATGAACATTCTCTTTGTAAAGTTTAATAGAGAGTACATCTACTAGATGAGTAAAACCCCCGGTGAAACGATCACACTATAAGCACGCCTAGTCGTAAGAAACGAGGGGGTAAGGTACGAGATAAAAGGCTATCAAGCGTAGGATTTGTTATATCATCATATAGTGTAATTTCCTTCTATACTACGTGGTATATATATATAATATACATATATAACACCCTATTTCTCTTCTGACATCGGTGATCTTTCACATCCTCTCCTTTTGTGCTCCCAGCATGTCTTTGTATAATAACTGCCGGTGTGAGTTGGGAAGTGGTCAGGGGTCGAGTATTGGCGATGAATCGAGTTGGACAGCACGTGACGTTACCTGTCTATATACTCGTGAACGTTGGCTTCACAAACAGCAAATGTTCGAAATATCGATGGCGACCCGCTACTGCTGCTGCTACTACTATACTGTTACTGCTGCTGCTCCTCCTCCTCCTCTTCCTCCTCCTCTTCCTCCTCCTCCTCCTCTTCCTCCTCATCCTCCCCCTGCTGCTGCTACTGTTGCTGCTGCTGCTGCTGTTGCTGCTGCTGCTGCTGCTGCTGCTAGCACTACTACTTGTGCCTCTACTACTCTCTCGACTATTGTTACTACTACTGCTCCTGTGACTGCTTCTATTGCTAGCGCTGTTTCTGCTTCTTTTGCCACTTTGGCAACCATTGTCATTGCTATTACTACTGTCATCACTGTCGTCGTCGTCGTTGTTGCTGCTGCTGTTACTACTACTACTACTACTACTTCTGCTGATGTTGCAGTCGCTGCTACTTCTGCTGATGTTTCAGTCGCTGCTACTACTGCTGCTTGCTGCTTGCGTTGATGCCACTGCTGTTACTACTACCGCTGCTGCTATCATTGTTACTGTTGCTACTGCTACTGCAGCTGCTTGTGCTGATACCATTGCTGTTACTACTACTGCTGCTGCCGCCACTGTTCCTGCTGCTACTGCCACTGCCTGTGCTGCTAATTTCTTCCAGCTAGCTAGCTACTACGGCAATGCTCGATGCTATATACTGCAATGCTCGTTCGCAAACCGATTACGTATATATGCGGTATTGCCCCACAGGTGGCCGAATAATTATGCTCTAATTATGCCCTCGTTAGCGGCTCATTTGAAGACTGCTCTCCTGAAAGCAGTGCTGTTCCCTTGCGGGTACGATAAAGAGTGTGCGGGCGGCGGTCACAGATGGCTTGCTACATTAGCTACGTGCACCTCCTGATGACCCCCGCATGCTGCACCATACTCGTTATATGTGCACAATTAAAGGGTAACTTATTGCTCCGCGTATTACACACGACGACACTCGAACCAAAAAATAGAACCGTCTATCTTCTCTCGTATTTAAAACGTTGGCATCTCTGGTTAAAAGCTCTTGCGTCGCACGCTTCGCCGCCAGGGAACATTTGCTTCTCTTCGCTATAGGTTTCACAACCTTTTCCCTGGCGCGCAATCATCTGAAGAGCGGAGATATCACACGCGACGCTTCGAGACCTGACGAGTGTTTGGCGATCGTTTCCTACGCGAGGCACGCGTCGGAGTGCTGCGGTGGCGCCCCCTATACGTGCGGATGCTACAGTGGCGCTCCCTACGCCGGAGTGCTACTGTGGCGCCCCTCTATGTCGGGTTACTGAGGTGGCGCCCTCTACGTCTGCTTGCTGAGGTGGCGCCCTCTACGTCTGATTGCTGAGGTGGCGCCCTCTACGTCAGATTGCTGTGGTGGCGCCCCCTTACGCCGAAGTGCTACCGTGGCGTCCTTCTACGTCGCGTTACTTGAGCTTCACACCTCCCAAGAATCTCTGACGTTCGTAGTCACGTGACGCGTACGCACGACGTCACCGTGACGTAAGCAGCAGCAATCGAGAGAGTGGCGTCGAGTAAACGAGTGAGACGCATTTCGGTGAGAGAAAAATGACGGCGGAGAGATCTCGCGAGAATGCTGCTAATCGCGAAAAAGACAGTGGAATGTAGCGGGACAACGAATTAACGCTCTCACGTCTCATCTCACCAGCGTGCGTTTAATTTAGATGACGCACATCGTATAGAGAAAATTTTAAAAAAGAAAAACGAAAACGCGCATTGCTCTGAGCAGACAGACACACACACACACACACACACACACACACACACACACACACACACACACACACACACACACACACACACACACACACACGAGACGACGACGTACGAACCGTAACGTATACGTCGTACGTACGTACTAACGTACCGACCGTCCACAACACAACAACTACGTACGTAC